TAACTTTTTTGTTGTTGTTTTTTGCTGAGGAAGATTGGCCCTGAGTTGATATCTGTTGCCAATCTTCCTCATTTTTTTTTTTGAGGAAGATTAGCCCTGAGCTAACATCTGTGCCTATCTTCCTCTACTTTATATGTGGGTCGTCGCAACAGCGTGGCTAACGAGTGGTGTAGGTCCGCACCTGGGATCCGAACCCGTGAGCCCAGGCTGCCAAAGTGTCACACACCGAACTTAACTACTAAGCCACAGAGCCAGCACCCTAGATAACTTTAAAAGTCCCTTCTAAGCCCAAGATTCCATGAAATTCAACAATCAAATTTCAGTGAAATTTAGCCTGAGTATTTTTCCCAAAGTAATTGCTCTTTAATCTGCCTCATTCTAAATTCAAAGAAGAAATATTTCTCAGTTATTGAAGAAGAGGAGCTAATTTCATTTTCTGTGTATGTCTCTGGCATTCATGGGATTTACAGAAAGTTGTGTGGAATGAGAGAACCGTGTAACGACAGTATCTCACTCTTTGGTGAGACCACCTAGAAGCTAAAACCAGCTTATTGTTTCTTCGGGCTGTGTTCTACTAATAGAGCAGGAAGTTTTATTCTGTCTGGATAGACTATGAAACAGAAAAGTAAAAAAAAAGTGGGGGAGGAATGCAAAAAAGATTTCACTTCAAGGAAAAATACCTTGCAAATAATTATCTTCAAAATAATTTTTCCATTTTATTACACAAGATGACTCTGAAAGTACACATTTGGCTTCTGAACACAGTGTGAAATATTTATTTCCATCTTCCTTTTAGTCTTGTAGTTACTACATAGATTTGGACATGGATAATGAACAGGTTTTACACAAGAAAATGAACGTGCTTCAGCTGATTCGGTGTGATCGTGATGTTGGCTGATTTCCCATGTTTGTGGAAGTTCGTATAGGTGGGCATGAGCACGTCCACGTCCCCACTGCAATCAGGCCAAACACGCACAAAACAAGTGCTTGTCTGTGATAGAAGCATGCTGATCACAACAAACAGTCATTCCTTGATGAGATTATTAACTTACGGATGCATTTCCACACCCAGAAGTACTCTTACGCTACCATTGTACAGCATTATCTACTTTCCTTCCATCTAATGTGTGAAATCAAATGTCCTTGTTGGGGCAAGAAAATGCTCAGAGTCACAGTAGCATTCCTTTTTCACTGGAAATACACAGGGCTAAGTATAACCCATGGTGACTCTGAAAACATCCACAGTCGTTAAAAGGGGCGACATCCCTTCCGTGTTACAGACAAATTGTACAGGGTTTTGCCACAATGCTGCTGGGCTTTACGGGCTGTTGATGAGTCCAGTAAGAAGTAATATCTAAACTCCTTTTCTATGAAAATATCTTTTACTTGAATAGTACAGATTCCAAAGAATATCAAAACATTTACTAATAGTTCTAGGAAAAGTATGTACCATTAATTTCCCAGGCCAAGAATTATACACAGGGAAAGAATTAGGCACTCTGAGGCTGACTCTTTTAGGAATCACTAAATTAACATTTTTTTACATTTGTAGAGTAATTGGTCCAATTGCAAATGGATTTGTCCAAGCAGGTCTCTGAATTGGTAGATCAGTGAAGAAAATGGATACAGTCAGAGGGAAAGCACCTTGTCTCGGAAATGAGAATCCCCAATTAAATACTGCCCACACTCACTGAGCAGCAACCATAGTCCCTCACAGCCTGACAATATTTGCATCTCATGGAAAAATTACAAAGTCAGCTCATGGAACAACATGACAACTTATTGGTTAAATATTTTCTGGAACATCTACACTTCAGTTAAAACCATACTATTCAGTTAAAACTGTACTATTTACAGATCAGTAAATATGCCAAGGGCTCACAGCGTGCCTACAAGACACAAATATACAAACTTATGGCAAGCATATGGTGAGGCTCCTTAAAATAACAGGAAACTTTGATGCAGAAAGAGAGATGAAAATACAGAGCATACATTGTAAGGGAGCCATGCTCTGGGGAAGGTACTCTCTGAAAAGCACAGAACATTATTTCATCCAAGAGGGACTCACAAACATAAAAATAAAATATTTGGTATTCTACACTATATTACAAAAATAAATATATCCATCAATAAATAGTAGGAAACCTAGAAACTTTTACATGAATATTTTGGTTATTGGCTGCCGAAGACCCTCTGCTACAATTCTCCTTGAGGGTCATCTAGGTTTATCAACTTCAGTGATGATAATTCTGCCATAAAAATGTAAAAAAGACTGGTATGGGATGTAGCCAAAGTCTATGACCAGAGAAGACATTAGTGAGTTCTACTTTCCTAAGGACCTGACGATTTCATGGCTTCGTATTAATGCAATGATATAGATGAGATGCAGGCCTCCTGCAAGAGGCCTGATGAGAGCTGGGAGGACTCCTCTATTTATAGTTTATGCTTTTTCATTTTTTGATGAGAAGAAAGCAGAAAAAGTGCAACTAACAACATTTGAATAACCAATATGTGGCTTTCTTCACTCTCTTTCCACAGGGAAGAAGAAAATCACAGAAACGCATGTTTACGTCTGGACTGTGGTAAAAGGAGAAACATCTGGGATATGCAGCCTAATTGCCGACAGCCTAGATTTTCACATCTCTTTAACAGAAGAGTGATTATAAGTGCTCCCAACAAGGTTTCTCCAGGAACCTGGCAGAGTCACCAGAGGGCGTGTGGAAAGCAGGGCCTGGCACATTTTAGTGTTCTAATATCAGTGTGCTAATAGCAGCGGGGTGCCAGAGCTGGCATGCATGGCTCCTGAGAGCCGACTGTTAAGTTTTCAGGAATTTTGCAAGCCGGTTGACACCACATTGGTAGCTTGAAATAAGCCATAGTGGGAGTAGCTACGCTATTGAAATTCACAAATCAGGGCTTATTCCCTCCCAGGATTGCTGGCTGTAAATCATTTACCAGCACACCACTGTCTTATGTATTTTAGACATAAAGAAAATTTTGCTTGATTTTTATCTAACCAAACTATCCTGTTCAGTCGAGGTTTTACTGTATATCTATTACAGCGTCCTTTGAAAAGGATAAGAAGTACCATAGAGTGTATGAGTATACTGTGTATACTGTGGGTGTAAAGGATGCACCACATCCCACTGAGGGCTCTAAGTGTGGCTATCCAAAGCCAGTTACACACACACACATGCACACGTACACACACATGCCTACATGCCATTTTATATGGAGACTATTCCATAAATGAATGATTCTGAGCTGCATGGCCATCTCAAATTATCAATCACCGTATACTCACTGGTGGTCAAAATACCACTTTTCCTGGGCAATGAATTCCCCAGGATCCACTCTCTGGATACCAGTGGACAATAGATATACAGAGCTGAGGTCCATACTGGGCAAAACGTCCTTCAAAATAGCTTCCCTTGCCTCTATTTTCTAGTGCAATATGAATGTATAACCCCAAAAGGTTTGTGAAAGGGAGGCTGATGGTTTCCCAGGGTTAAAAAAACATACAAGAGTTCTTAAGGAAGTATGCAACAGGGTGAGTGGGGGACAGTGTACTAGAAACCACATCCCTGATTCTAGTGTGAACCATTCGTGTTGTCTGCCTGGAGGTGTTAGCACAGTTTGAGAACTGCACTGCTCTGGTTCTTCCTGCACAAAGCATATGATCCCACGTGGTGGGGGTGGTGGTGGTGGTGGTGAGGGAGAGGGGGGTTGCTAAGGCCAGAGCCGGAGTCTCGGTGTCCTTCCAACTGGCCAACTGCTGACAAACCCACCGGCCTATTCCTGTCAGGAACACGTCCAATCCCTTAGTCCTGGCCAGTTCCAAAGTAGGAAGACTACAGAATGGGAAGGATGGGAAGGCTACAGGGTTTCTACCACGGGGCAAACCTGATTTCAAAATTCAGGCTTAGCTTCTGAGTCGTTTGCTTGTGTGTCTGTTCATTAATTTGTTTATTTACATGTGTCCATTTAGACTCTGATTTTCCTTTCCTTATACTTAAGTATTCTTCATGAACAAAACATTTCATAAAAGATTATTAAAATAAATCAAATTAAATATTGGGGGAAACCTAGAAATTAGAGCTAACTCCATTCATCCTGAAAACAAATGCTTTCGCATGTCCCCTTCCGGCCCACAGCAGGGGCAATGAAGGATAGTGCAGATGGGGGACACAGGCATGGGAGAAGGATGTGGGGCAAAGAAGAAAGAGGGAAGGACAAGGTGGAAAAAAACAAAAGCAGAGGTGCAGACGCAAGGGAGAAATATTAAGAATTGAAGAAAAATGTTAAGAAGTAAAAAGTCCAACAAACAGATCCCTTCTGATTTTCCTCCCGTGGGTCATTGATAATTTTATTTTGTCCAAACAACTTAATTCTCCAATTAGAACTGCTTATAATTTTACAAACACATCCTAGGATAGCTTCTATATCCTTTCCCCCTCCTCCCCTAGGAGCCGCCTTGCACCTCCTTTACTTCTGCAGTAATAAATGCCAACACGCATGGCTTTGCTTTCCTGTTATCTCAGGAACAGATGTCATCCTGAAGTCCCCTGTTTCCCTTTCTTGACTAGGTGCTGCCTTCTAGAGCTCATTGGTGCTCGTGGGTTCGTTCTTGCTATTGTACCTTAGGCCACTGCTTCTTGAAGCCATTGGGTTTCTGTATCAAATAACCCCTCCTCTAAAACATGCAGCATCCTTTACCAGACCCTGCTGCTCCCGGCAATGGCAGAAACTCAACTGACAAAAGCGACACCTGCATTTCCCATGGTATTTAGGAAATGTAATACTTCCTAGGATGGTTAAATTCCTGGTGCAAATTATCTTGATATAAATCCTGCTCAGAGAAGAGGTGACTGAGAACATACCATTGGCTTTTAATATATACACATTTGGTTGAGTAATGCACATGTATGAGTCTAATCTATCTCTATAGAACCTGAAGAGTTTTATAAGTTTATCTATGTACACATATACATCCACAAATAACTATCTTTCAACACTGTATTTCTGCTTAGGGATTGTTGTTTTCAAAGTGACATAGAGGACAAGTAGTGTGAGCTTACCACTTGCTGTTAGAGGTGGCACAGCAAGGAAATGGCAAGTCCAAAGAAAAACAGATTGGAAGGGACTAGATTGTATAGTAAAATATGCATCTCCTACAACAAACCGACCTGTCAAATTCCCTAAGGCAACAAGCCTCTATGATCTGTACACCCTTATTAAATAATCTCTTTAAATAGGAACACAAAATATACACATTTACAGTTATTAAATAAACCACAGGACTCCTCTTCTATCTACAGCCACATTCAGAGACGGCCATGCCTTCATATTTAAACTTGTAGGTGACGACACCTTTGTCTAAATAGAGAATGGAGATGGGCTCTAGCTTGGTGGGCACACAGCAGGCTTTGGAAGCCTTCTGGGAATTCTTGAGGTGGACCAAGGCCTGGATAATTGCATGCTTTGTGGGTGTGAGATGCTCTGCCAGGGGGTAGTTGCAAACGCCACGGCATTCGTAGGCTTCGTATCCAGGTGGGGCAATGATCCAAGAGTCCCAGCCAATTTCCTTAAAGTCAATGTAGAGTGGGGTCCTCTTGCAGTAGTTTCCTTTGGCATTCCTTCTGATACGAGCAGTGGAGTCATAGATGATGTTTGACCTCATCTGCAGCAATGCCTCTTCCCCAGGTCCACTGGAAAAACCATCTAGGCCCAGGTTGTCCAACTCCAGAAATTGCTCATGGGCAATCATTTCACTCAGTTCCTCCTTCCCCTCCTTCTCACTGCTTTGGTCATCAGAAAACACGACAAGCAAAGGGTCATGCTTATTCTGGGCACTGGTATCTATTTCCAGTTGTCCCCTGCTAGCGTCCCCTGTTTCATCCTGTGTGCTCTCGATGTAGACCTCCAGCTGGTGGGTGGATGAGCCTGACTTTTGCCAACGTCTGATGGCATCGGTGACATCAAAAGTCTCCCACTCACTGTTGGTTCCATAGATCTCTCCTGACACCAAGACCAGCATGTTTCTCTCACCCTCGTTGTCCCCTTTGCCCTCTAGTACTTCATAAATGGTAATTTTCCGGTCCACTCCATCGTACATCATGCGATCTCTTTGCACCAGGGTGTACAACCTGAGTTCAGCCATGATGACCTCTTCATGGTGAGGAATGGACACATTGAAGAAGAGAGGGTATTTTCGGAGCCCATTAAAACTGGCTGGTTGGGAAAAGAGATCTGCAAAAAAGACAAAAGTCAGATTTGCAATATGTTTCAGAGAAAAACAGATGTTTATTTACATAATAAGAGGGCCTGTCCATGCAGGAAGCTTGATACAGAGAGAAAGAGGGGAGATCAATGAAAACAAACACAATGTTAGCATTCTCTGACACAGAAAATACTGAAAGGTCAATGGTAGAATGCTAAACTCATTTAAGCTGCCAAGACGAAAATGAAAATGGCTGCCTAATGAATAGGAGAAAACTCTCCCAGCCTTGCTTGTCGTAGCTTATCAGCCACAGAATTATAGAACCAGGAGGGACCTTGGAGATTGTGTGGGCAAGCCTCCAATTTTTCTAACCAGTGAGGAGCTATCAAATTGGACATGTGGTAGTTGTTCTTGTCTTGAAGATTTTCAGGGATGTGGATTTCATAATTTTTCGTATTTGTATTTGTAATGGGTGGAGATCCCTACATAAGGCACTGGTTTTCCTGAAAGACCTCCACCTAGACCAGCGGTTGGTAAACTGTAGCCCATGGGTCAAACTGGGCCTGCCACCTGTTTAGGGAAATAAAGCGTTACTGGAAATTAGCCTTGCCCACGGCCCCGTGGCTTAGAGGTTAAGTGCGCACGCTCTGCTACTGGCGGCCCGGGTTTGGATCCCGGGCACACACCGTCGCACCGCTTCTCTGGCCATGCTGAGGCCGC